CTCTCTGGTCATCCACCCCTGGGCAGTAACTTCTTACAATATTCTTCTTAGTATATTTCACGGGAGACAGATCCCAAAATACTATTCAGGCAACACATGGTTAACCTTTTAGTGCTGCAAGAAGTAAAGAAACTTTGGCCAAACGCTGCAGCCAGGGTAGAAAGAGTTTGTCTTGCCAAAAGAATGAGACAAAGGAGGAGCGAAATGCAAGTATTTGGGTTTTTATGCCTTAGCCTTAATTACCAGATCGTTCTTTGCTTTTGAGATAACTTGATGAGAAGTGTCAGTGCCTTTAAGCATCTACCCCTCACAAGTGAACAGGGATTTCTGATTAGCTTGGTTCATTAGCACATCCTAGGTGTGTTATTCATGTTTGTAGCCCTTTAAGTTGCTGCTGTTAGCACTGGGTTTGATATCGGGGTTACATCTTGGACAATTCTCGTTTCTTGAGTGAATTTTGTCCTCCACGTGCCTTTCGGTTAAATGAGTGGGTGGCACACATTAATAACAATAATTAATATTTTTTATCATGCTCTCAAGCGATGAAATGATCACCTGAAAAGATAAAAATAGACCATTGATCTTAGAATTATTCTTCTTGAACAATAAAAGCCACACGAAGCTTTTCATCAGGAGCCCTGGATCTGGTTTTGTTTCTTTTTACCTTCTGGCAGCCAGAAAGGCTCTTGCTTTTTGCTCCATCTCTGTCTCCTCATTGTGAATTGAGGGGTGGTACCTGCTACCACAGAGCCCGATGCGAAGCTGAATTAGTTGGCGAGTCTGGCGGTGCAATGGGATGACTGAACGTTTCATCAGCTGCAGCTGACTCCTGGTCTTAAGCAACTTAAAATACGATCAACTGATGTGACGTACGTGCCTAATGCTTGAGTGATGAACGGTGCCACGGAAGACTAAACTAATCCCAAGTACTTCCAGCCAGTTCCGTGGTTTTTCTTTCCATCTCTCCTTTAGAAAGACTTTGGATTTCAAAACTGAATCCAAACCTTCTGCTTGGAAGGCATCCCACTCTGCACTGTTTTTTTTGTGCCCATTAACGTACCAAGCACAGGTAGCTCCTTACTTTATAGATCGTATACCGTAAAAAACAACCAAACAAAAAGAGGGCAGGGATTTGGGGGGTGATTCTGCTGCTGGTGTGAGCTACGAGGAAACAGAAACAGAAGCTTTGGGAAAATGGGGCGCATCTCGGGAACTTCAACCTGAAGCCGTAATGGTAGAGCTGGGAAAGGAAAGTCGTGATAAAAACCTGGGAAGTGCAAAATAACGTAGGCAATAAATAAAAGTGAGCAATCCTGTAAAGGGCCCCAGCCACGCTGGTGGGATATTCGGGCAGAAGGCGATCCAGCGTTGCGGGGTTGTTGTGTTGGCAGGACTGGCCCAGGGAAGGAGGATGTCAGAGGTTTCCACCCAGTTTGTTGTTATTAGAGGAAGAAGAGCAATTCTGTAAGAAAACAGAGATCCTTTCACAGCTCTTACCTCGCCGGGCTGTTCCTCCGTGGGGATGGATGGGGTGTGCGCTCCCTGTGGGTCTGCTTTAATGAGACACCCATCACCTCCGGAGGGGGGAGAAAAATCCAAGTTAAGCTTGGCCAGGGCTTTGCTCTGAGCCGTCTTGCCCGAATTGATTTTCAGGGGTGTAAGGATGTTCCGTGCTGTGTGGTATGAGAGAAGGAGCAAGAAAAAAACAAAACCCCAGGAGGAGAGAGCAGCGCCTCGTTCCCAGCGCCCATTGTCCGATCCTCTCAAGCAGTCGTTCATTTCTGTGACAGCACATTTGGGGGAAGCAGAAATCGTGGAACTAAAGACAAATTCATCCCCGGCTTGCTGCGTGACTACAGCAAACTGCCGCTCGCTTTTCCTCCTGATGCACAGGCTGAGGGTCATCTAACGATAGTTCCTTGCAGCGGTGATGCCTCAGGGAGGGTTGAAATCCCTGGGAGAGAAGTTGTGCAGGAGAACAAAGTGTCATTAGTACAAGCTGCAATTCAGACCTCCAGTATCTCTTCCCTGACACAGGCTGCTTGGGCAGGATCCTCTTCCACAGCTTAGTGGGTGAAGCCTTCTCATAGGATGCTGATCTCAGCTGATGTTTGCCAGACAATTTATAACCATCTTCAGTACTCACCTGTTACTGGTGAGATGATAGAAGCGGGGAAATGCTAGACTGCAGAGAACTGCTCCTGTTCCACCTACTTAAATATAGATGTTGGGATTTTCATATAAAGTTACTATCACACACTGCTTTTTAAATTATTTTTTCTTCAAATTTAAATCACTCACTACCAGTAGTTGTAGGTGATAAAACCACCAGACTCCTGCTCCCTCTTCAAGCTGTCCCTTCCCAAGCTGGGACCGCAGCCCTGTCCCTTATCCCACTCTCTGGGCTCTGTCCCCCCCGATATCCCACCCCAGCTGATCCCCTGGGCACAGCCGGGCGCAGGTGGAGCTGCTCTCTGGGAGCTGCAGGAGCACAGCCTTTCCTCTAGGACGTGTTCGAGCCTCTTTTCTCCGCAGGATAACAGCTCCCACGCCGCAAACCATAACAGCTCCCACGCGGCAAACCTGCTGCGGTGGCAGCTGCTGCCCAGGCGGTACTCATGCGTGAGCTCTTCTCCCCTGGCTCTCGTAGGATGCTCTAGCTTTTATCACGCTCTGTAAGGAAAAAGCTGCTCTGCATCTCTCATAAAAGCACATGTCCAGCCACCGCTACAGAACAGCAAGTGTGCCGGGGCTGAGCCCGCAGGTCCCCCGGGAGGAAAGTTCACAAATTACAGCTTCACGTTCTCGCTCCCGAACTGGCCTCCTGGCAGCTCTGCGCCAAGAACTGCAGCCCACCTTTCTGCTGGGTCCCCCTCACAGCTCCGAGCAGCTCTTTGGT